ATAAAAATATAAAAAAAATCAAAATCCAAAAGAATCAAAATCTAAATTTGTTTTTCAAGAACAAAATCTAAAAAGTTTGATTGAAATTAAATTTGCAACTCCCATTTATGATAACAAAGGTACTCAAAAAATTATGAAAAAATCATATTTAGTCATCTAAAAATCAAAGGAATCACTAATGCTAGTTTTTTTTTTATTTTTAAAAGATTGTTCTATAAAAATCACATATTTTGATTCTTTCTAAACATAAAAAAATTTTTGCTTCAAAAGTGATAGACAACCAAAAGTGTTAATAAATTCTTTTGAAGGTTAAAACTAAGTTTGATACTCACAAAATTTAATCTATATGCTCACCTAAGGATTTTCTAACTTATCCTTTTACTTAAGGTGGGATTTCATAGTCCATGTAACTCATGGCCTGCAAAACTTATTGGCAACCAACGAGACCACTGCTAGCTTTTCTTGCCATTGAGGACTAGTGTCAATTGTGGAGTCAAACACTACTAAATGTTTTCATGGATCATTACCTCTTTTTATTAACATAAGTCTCATAGGAACCATTTCACCAAACTTGGAAAATCTATCTTTTCTCACTTAGCTTAACATTCAAAGCAACAATTTTCATGGTTCATTACTAATCGAATTGGCTAATTTATGTCTATTGAAATTTGTTTATATGTTGGTAGCAAGAACATTAATGGACATGTGTGACGGTGAGACACATGCTTGTGAGGCCTATCTTGCAAGGCATGGTGCTAGATATGTGCAATATGTAAGACACATGCTTGTTATTCTTATCTAGTCGAAGCGATGGTGCTAGAGATGTGCAATAAGTACGACACATGTTTGTTCCTATCTAGCAAGGGCTATGTTGCTAGACATGTGTAATAAGTAAGACAGATGCTTGTTCTTCCTAACTAGCAAGGGCTATGGTGCAATAAGTAAGACACATGCTTGATCATCCTATCTAGTAGAGGTAATGGTGCTAGACACGTGTTAGGACACATTGCTTGTTATGCGTGTCTAGCGAGGCTTGGTGCTAGACATGTGCAACAAGTAAGTCACATGCTTTATCATCCTATCTAGTAAGGATCAAGGTGCTAGACGTGTGTTAAGTCACATCACTTGTTACCCTATCTAGCAAAGGCTTTGGTGATAGATGTGTGCTAAGGCACATCACTTATTCTCCTTATCTAGTAAGGGCGATACTGCTAGACATGTGTTGAGACACATAACTTGTTCACCCTATCCAACAAAGACTATGGTGCTAGACATTAGCTAAAACACATCGCTTGTTGCCTTGGGTAATGTTAGCCTTGACACTACTTCATTGGTTAAGAAGCCTTTGGCTTGAACCTTTTTATTAGATATTTGATTGAGATGAATATTTACAGTGAATCTTGAAATGGTAGTCGATTGAGCTAATTCTGAGTTGGATTGCGATCCACCATTTGTGATACAATGATATTTGCAATTAGATGGTATTAAGCTTGTAAAAAGACTTTTTGATGGAAATGGATGGATTCACTCTTGATTAGATCAAAGTTGGAGTTCTAAGAAACTTAGAAATTTGAATTGTTTTGTGAAAAGGATCAACCTTTAAAGTAAGAAAGGTTAATCCCTACCATCTAGTAGTTAACTGGAAAGCTCTATGTCCTAGAAGGATTAACCCTTAGTATAGAAAGGGTTGATCCCTGGCATTTAGTAGCTAATTGAAAGCTTATTATCTATGAGGAATTAACCCTAGTATAAAAAGGTTTGATGTCAAACATCCAGTAGCCTTTTAAGGTTTTCAATTAAGGAGGGATCAAACCCTCAAGGGGAAAATGTTGATCCCTAGAAGACAAAACCTATAAGATATTTTTGTGAGCTAGGGATTGACCCTTATAGGCCAAAGGGTCGATCCCTCTATAATACACTTAAGTTGTGCATTCCTTTTAAATGCCTTTCAAGGGCAATTGGTTAGCACCTTTCCCTTAACTTCCAAGGAAGTTTGCACACATGTAACACATCTGATTGATGCAAAATGCACTATCATACATGATTGAATGAGATTTGGCTTTGAAAGCAAAGTCCATGGTTGTAAATAAAGGCATCATTTTATTACCAAATTATGCTTAGCTTGTTCCATTAGATTATTCACTCGCTAAGTTATACTTACATTTTGAAATCCCATGTTTTTGGTTTTCAGATAAGTGACTAGCTTGGGTCACCACCTGAGGAAAGATCCTTGAGTCTCGTTTGATAGGTATGCCTAGCAGTCAATTATGGAGCCTACTTGTCTCATGTTGCATGTCACTTACGAGTTTACTTTTGAGTCATGTAAGTATGAGTGTGGGTTAGCATTACTTTATTTTGTAGCTAGGCATGTCAATGTACTTTGATGTATATGTGTACAAACAAGTATATAGGTATGTATGGCATATGATATAATGTAATTGGTCGAAGGCTTACATGAGCACATGAGTAGCAAACGGATGATGTTATGTTTGGTATATGTGAGAGCTTACTCGAGTTTAATGTCTATTAATAAATGAAAGTACATCTATGAACCTTGTTCTTGAATTCTGCAGACTTTCGATGTATGCTTGTGATGGATTACGTATAGGCGTATTAGATGAGAAAGGCTTGCTAGGATCAAGGGGATCTTGTCTTCTTGGCCATCATGCCAGTCATGGCCTAAGATTGGGTTGTGACAATTAGCATCTTTTGTTACATGCCTTGTCACATCTTGTTATATACTACATGGCATAATATCATTACCTCACAAAGGGCCATAAATCTTACATCGAAGAGAAGTTCCCAGAGAGGAGTCAAGGAAGGATGTCATGATCTTAGAGGTGAGCCCTAAATCCCACTCCAACTATGTACTATAGTGATACCGGACATTTAAGGGTTCACACTACCTTTAACCTGGGATACACCTTTTATGGGACAAAACCATGAAACCAGCAGGCTAAAGCAGACAATACCTCATAGGGGTTGGTGTGGACTGAGACACATAGCATGTCTTGTTACATGCCTCTTCACGTCTTGATATATACTACATGTCTTAGCATGTCTTGTTACATGCCTTATCAGATCTTGTTAATACATATAAATTTGGTATATTACATGGTGCACCTAAAGAATGTTATTTGCTTGTGAAAGGTGTTATGAAATTGTTAATTGAATTTAAGGTAGCCTTTAGTTGGAGTAATTTGATTGACTACGGATATTAGTCTCTGTAATGATGTTGTGAATTATTATATTCTAAGAATGTTTTCACTTGAAATTGTTTAATATTTGGAATCTAAGTTTCTAAGGATAATTATATTTTGAACTATTCATACACGACTTGAAAGGTTTGGTTTTACTTGTATATGCACTTGTTTTGGTTTGATGCAAACTACATGGTCGCAAATAAAGTCATGGTGTTATTAAACACTCTACCGTTTAACTTGTTCTCCTCATGCCACGTTCACTAAGTTTTTACTCACATTTTTAAATTCATGTTTTGGTTTTCAAATTTACAGCAAGGTGAATCATTGCTATTAAAGGATTCTCCTCCATTCTTGTGATAAGTATCGTTGAAAGGCATCCAGTAGGCTTCACCTTTATTTCATGTCTATTTCGCTATCCGTGGCTAGATATATTTTGCATATTTAAAGTATTGATGAACATTGTCTGCTAGCCAAGGTCTGGCTTGTTAAATGTCTATTTTGTAATAAAGGTGTTGGTAAACACCAAGATATAAATATCGTCATTTGAATATATGATTACGAACATGATTAGTGCATGAGATGTGCATTGAAACATCAATATAGGATGTGTAACATTGTTGAGCGATATTATGAATTATTTAACTATGGTAAGGTGTTAAATTATAAATGCACATATGGACATATATATTCACAAACATTGAGATGTTCACTCTTATTATGAGATTATGACATATGATCACGTGTGACTACTCATGAGGCTTGCTTGGATCAAGTGGGCTTTGCTCACTTGGTCCTCACATTGGTCATGGCTTGAGATTAGAATGTGGCAATTCCATAAATCAATATTTCTTCCCATTCCCCACCACTAATCCCATACCCTCATCTAAAAATTGTGATGAGCCATTCATTGAGTTCGGGGACTAGACAATGTTTCGCCTCTCACCCAATATCTTCATTGCGTTCTCCACTATCAATAATAATTTCTTCCTACTCCTCATGTCTTCTCCACAAGCTTCTAGATTCTTTCTGCCATACCTAATCCATTTGTTCAACACGACTCTTTTTTTAGATTCAAATCAATAATTCATAGTTTTTCAATATCCATATCAAGACATATAAAGCTCCAATCGACATAGTATATCTTTCTCCTTTCTATGGATCTGTCCCAAAGAAATCGGCTTTGGATTTTGTTCAGAACCTCTTTCACTTTTGTTGGTATTTGAAACATCCATGCGAAGAAGATTGGAAGACCAACAAGAGTTAAAGAGGTTTTGGACAAAATCCAAAACATCGACTAATATCGACTTCTATTAGATAGCTTGTTAATGTTGGTCATGTTGGTCTTATTTATGAAAAGTTGTGACTAAAGAGTTATAAATAATTACCTTATTAGATATAACT